ATATATATATATATATATATAAGCGGATGCCTAAAACCAACAAAGATATAAAAGAACACACACACACACACACACAGATATATATATATATATATATATATATATATATATATATATATATATATATATATATATATATAATCGGATGCCTAAAACCAACAAAGATGTAAAAGAAGAAAAATCTTGCTCTTTTCTCTTCTTGAAAAAAAATACAGTGAAGAGAATAAAAGATGATGATAACTTCTGAATTTCCAGGCTTCGTGATCCAGTCGCTTTCCAGCCGAATATCCTGCCCGTATGTCTACCTAAGGACGATGACGACCTTGTGGGAGAAATGGCCGTGGCCACTGGATGGGGAAGGCTCTCTGCAAGTAAGAGAGGGAGAGAAAGGGAGAGAGGGTGGGAGAGGGAGAGGGAGGAGGAGAGAGGAGAGTGAGAAGGAGGGAGAGAGGGCGGGAGAAGGAGACGGAAAGGGAGAGTGAGAGGGAGTTGGAGAAGGAGATAGAAATGGAGAGGGTGGGAGAGAGGGCCGGTAGGGGGGGGATGGAGATGGAAAGAAAGAGAGAGAGAGAGAGAGCGAGCGAGCGAGAGAGAGAGAGCGAGCGAGCGAGAGAGAGAGAGAGAGACGAGGGTGGAAAACATATTATTCTTGTGCTTTAAATGGTTTGAATGAAATAGATTATAAAGTCTGGTAAGTAATCAAAATTTTATTGTATTTTGTATTTACACTTTACACCGGGTATACAAGAGCATATAACACAAAACATAAAAGCCCTCTCTTGAACATTGCTTATTGCCGCCAGTATATATATATATATATTTTTTTTTTTGGCGAACAGTCAGTCAGTGAATCAGATGTTAAGAATCATAAGTAAATGCAATGCCGCATTTCCCCTTCGCTTACAACCTTCCGGCGAGTTGCCATATGACGACCTCTCCCATCTGGATTTCGCCACGACGCAATTCATCCGTTTGTCCATGGTCGTCTCGCGGGATGAACTCTCGAGCCGGGTCATTTATCTGGAAGGGTCGTGCCAGCTGTACCCCTTAGCCCGATTCAAAAGGCGTCAAGAGGTGACCCTAAAACATCAGCTAGAGTCCAGAGTTCGTAGTTATACACACAAAAATATGCAATATGAGGGCCTTAAGAGGCGTTGCTCAGCCCCCCCCCCATGTACAGATACCGACAAATACCAGCCAAATTGCTCATGGGGAGAAAACTCGTCTTTTCACTAGGCACCTTGTACATCAGGCCGTTTCTGAGTTGTTTATTCAGCATCGCTAACGTTTCAGCTATGATCATTTTATTTTCTTTATTTACCTCCTCCATTAAAGAATATATGAATGCCCCCCCCCATGTACAGATACCGACAAATACCAGCCAAATTGCTCATGGGGAGAAAACTCGTCTTTTCACTAGGCACCTTGTACATCAGGCCGTTTCTGAGTTGTTTATTCAGCATCGCTAACGTTTCAGCTATGATCATTTTATTTTCTTTATTTACCTCCTCCATTAAAGAATATATGAATGTAGCCCGATCGGTTGTGTCGGGTTGTGTCGGCTGGTACCGGTTTGAGAGTTGGTAATTCATTATTCATGCTTGAACTTGCTTCGGTGTGGAGGATATTATACGTTTTGTCTTCCTCGAATATTATTGGGAATAATAACTTCTGTGCGGATAGATGATGCCTTTTTTTTTTTACGTATTGCTGTTATAGTTGTTTTGATGCTACGCGAAAACTTTTACTTTTGATAAGAATTCCATCTTTGGTCAATTCTTCGGTTAACAACTTTTGCCCCAGTGAAAGCACTTTTCGGAGCTGAGTTTCCCCCTGCCCGCCCCCCCCCTTTCCATGCATCGAAAAAGTAAGAAGCAAGATGATCAGATATATAGAGTAATATGATTAATATACATTGGTTAATATACATGGTTACGTACATATATAATGATTAGATATTATCAAGTGCATAACATAACATAATCAAGTCCATACCATGGTAAAGACAATTATATTTCACACCATAAACAATGCATTGTATACATCATAATATGTACAAATATTGTAATATAAGTCGATACAGATATCACAAAAAATGGATATTTTACCTGCAGAGGCTAAGAGGGAGCTGCAGAATAACGTACAGTTATTTAACAAAAACGGCTTCAAAGGGGGAAAATGTACAGATGGCATTCTTAGTGAGATCTGCAAGGTATAGATAATTAAACCAATAATAATTCCTTTAAATACAAAAGGTATTTATTGCTTAACATTCGATATTCTCTTGGTAATGTTGGATAACTAATTATACCAGATAAATTCTGTATACATAACAATATTTGTATAAAGAACCTTTAATTTAGCGCCTCTCTGAAGCATTGATCTCTTGTTGGCCGTCATCTCAGCATCTCCATGACTTGCGCATCGTAGAGCTGACATCACGTCTCAAAGTTTAGAGGCTGAAGGTGGAGGTGGAGGCTTGAAGGCTATCTGGAGAGCC